GTATCAGTCTGTTGCCACTTCGCGACTATCCATATTTTTTTCCAAGACGGGTAGCCAAGTATGGTCTATTTCTAAAGAGCTGTTCAAAGTACACTTCTCTTGAGAAATTACGCTGATTCTTCAAGTGAACGTCTCTTAGACAGAGGTTTATTGGCAATAATTCTCATCTTTTTCCACTCAACTCAATGTTCACAGTCTGACTTTAAACTATTTTCTGACAATTTTGATCCTGTTAATTGACTATTTCTGATGTAATCTTGATGTTCATTCTCACTTCAAATGATCTCAAAATTCCACCAATATAACTTTTATCACAGGAATGAAGTATCTCATAAATCCAATTTTTTGTTGTTTTTTCTTCTGTGCTGTTGTGTTTTGTATGTGTGAGTATGGATACGAGTGTATTTTCTGTTTCGTAAGGAGTTCTAACATCATATATATTTCCTAATTCGTCTTATCTTTTCAGAGAGTCCCAGAATGGGTATATTCATAGATATTGAGGGGGCGTTTAATAAAACAACCTTTCGAACAATTATCCAGCAACTAAACTACAGGAATGTACCATTGGTAGTAGGAGAATGGCTACTCAAGGTGATCTCTAGTGGAGCAATAAGTATCAATGTAGAAGACATCACAGTGAGAGGAATGGTCATGAGGGAATGACCACAGAGACGGGTCTTATCACCCCTTCTTTGGAACATAGTTCTGGATACCCTGATTAATCACCTCAATAAAAGAATGGATTCTACGCAATTTTATATGCAGATGACATAGTTATCTTGCAGACCGGCAATTTTGTGCGACAGAGCGCATAATCGACTCATATTAATAAAAACATGGTGGAAGGAATACTCACTGTCGATCAATCCCAAGAAGATTGAGATATTCTTTTTCACCACGAAAACCAGTTTATCGGGCTTAAAACCCCCCCAAATCTTCATAGGCAAATTAAACTTCTGTGAAGAGGTGAAATACCTTGGTACTATCCTCGATAGGAAGCTAACATGGAACTCCCACCAACAGAGTAGAGAATATGTGGCTTATGAGCAATGTCAGAGGACAGTGGGACGCGCATGGGGTCTTTCACCCCGTATAGTCACCTGGATCTACACTGCAATAATACGACCTATGTTAACAGACGGACCCATTGCATAGGGGCAGAAAGTTCTACAAGCAACGGCCATCCAAAAATCAGATTAAATACAGCGATTGGCTTGATTGAACCTCACAGGAGCTATGAGAACAACGCCAACTGCGGAAATGAAATTGATTGCTGGTCTGACTCCTCTGGACATGTACGTTAAGAAGGTTGCGTTGATGGCCATGTTACGATTCCGCACGGCTAGTATAAATCTTGAAGTAGAAATGGGTCAATTTAGGCTAAGCCTATGGCGAGAAGCGCTTACTGCGCAACCTCTGCTGCAGGCAGGCAGGCAGTGATGTAATTGAACCCAGGTTCGTGTTTAATGAAACCTACAGAATACAAATAAAACAGAGCACAGAATCAGATGCTACAAATGCAATACACATATGTACAGACGGTCCAAAAACCAAAGAAGGCTCAGGATGTGGAGTTTACTCCAGATCACTTAGCCTAAGGATTAAGTGGTATCTCAATCACCTTAAAAGAAATAACCAGGAAAGGAATTTCTGCCAAAAACATAACAATCTGCACTAATTGTAGACAAGCCCTATTAGCATAGAATAGACAACGTGTTACCTCAGGGCTAGTGGTAGAGTGCCTCCAGTATTTAGCGAAAGCCTCAGTAGATAATGACATTATCCTGAGGTGGGTTAAAGGGCACCACAGGAGTTAAAGTAATCGCATTGCCGACTCTTTAGCCAAGGAAGTAGCTGGACTTAGCATCTTAGGACCCATTGTCAATTACGGCCTGATGACTTCGACAATTGCGAAACTAGCCAAATGTCACACCCATGCTCAATTTCTAAAGATATAGGATAGTATTAAAGGATGCAGTCTTGCCAGAATCACCCTGGGTGACCCTGGGAAGTTGGCACCGAAGAAATATCTGGGGACAACCAGGAAAAACCTAAGCTTAACAGTAGGATTTCTGACTGGCCACTATCAACTTAGGAAATATCCCCATATTATGGGGCTAGTTGATAAACCTCTATGCAGGGTGTGTGAACAAGAAGATGAAATAGTCAGGCACGTTTTATGTGGGTGTCCGGAGTTATTGTAGAAAGTGACTGTGTTCGGCGAGTATCGGTCTACACCTGCCGATATAAAGTAGATGTTTCCTAGTGACCTGCTAACCTTCCTGAAAAGGACAGGATGGACGATGATCTAATAATAATAATAATAATAGTAATTCATTTCCTTAAGACAGTTACAAACCATATGGAAAAAGTCACTTGTTTACATTTAAAATACAATAATACTAATACTTATACCAATACTAAAAAATTTATTTCACCGCAAATTGCCACGACAAATATTCATCCAGTTTATAAAAACACTATTCTGTCAAAAAGGATTTAAAAGAGGTATTCACAATGGCTGCAGTAATTTAGAGTATTTTACCAATTGGAAGGAAGATTTATAAAGTACTGAGGCCACATCTGGTCTATTGATACTTCATCTATTTCTGAATTTTGAATAAATGCCCTATTCTTGCCTGTAGTTTAAAATAAGAACTGAATTTTCATTCTTTGCCATCATTTTCATATCATTAAAATTTTTAACTGCTGCTAACCTAAATTTATGTATATTTTGCTAAGGTAGATAAACTCCAAAATATCACACCGTATCTTAGCCTACTTTCAACTTGTGCTTAGTAGAGCTGTATCAATTGATCAATATTGAGTACATGCCGCAAATTTCTAAATTGAAAGGCAATCGAATTCAAGTTTGAGATTAGGTAATGGGAGTGAGCCTTCCAATTGAGATTTCTATCTATTCGTAATCCAAAGAAAATTGTTTGATCCAAACTAGTTGAGATCGATGGACTCGATTCGTTCGATTGGAATGACAACTCATTACTTTCTTTTTTTAATTTGGTGTGCTTGCGTTTTCGAAGTATTTAAAAACAAGTAATTTGCTGAAAACCATTCATTCAAAGAAGTCAACACTTCATTGCATTTATCACGCAAGGAAGGATCCATTTTTTCAGATATAATTAACGACGTATCATCAGAGTACATTGTGAAGGATGCAGGTACAGAAAGTTTATCCAAATCATTAATATAGAAAAGGAACAAAATTGGCCCCAATATGGACCTCTGAGGGACACCAATATATGTTTCAGTTTGTTGTGAGGAATGAGTGTTGATGGCTACATATTGTGTACATTTGAGTATAAATGATTTTATCCAATCTAGAGAACAGCCTCTAATACCAGACTTATACAGCTTTTCCAGTGGTATGTCGTGATTGATACAGTCAAATGCCCTGCTGAGGACACGAAAGATTCCAACAGGACATTCTTCTGCCTCAATATATTCTATTATTTTTTGATAATAAGAAAACACCGTAGTCTTCGTAGATTTTTTGTTGAAATATTCATGTTGGTTTCTCGAAATTATATCATATTCATGGCAAAATGACATTAATCTATCTAAAAAACAATACTCGAATACTTTGGAAAAAGTTGAAGGTACTGTGACTGGTCTGTAATTTTCAAGGCTCTGACGACAGTTCTTTTCATACACAGGTGTTATTTTACCACATTTCAACAATTCTGGAAAACCGCCAGAAGAAAATGAGATATTCACCATAAAAGTAAGTGGTACAATAAGTTCTGATAGGCACTTTTTCAATAGAATTGTAGGTACCTCATCCGATCCTGAAGAAAATTTATTTTTTAATTTTGATTTAAGTAACTGAAATAGTTCTAGCTCCTGATATGGCATGAGAAAAAAAGAATTTGGAAGTGACGTAACGTTACGCAGAAAATGATTAAAGTCCTTGTCACAGGAAACTATATTGCTCAATATCTTTTTAGCCGCATCTGTATAGAATTTATTGAAAAGTTCAGCAACGTCTTTTGGATCGTCAACAATGTCCTCCTAGGACAACAAAAGTTGTCCTAGGAGGACAACTCCTCGGGAGGATGTACAATGGGTCTCATGTGGCTTTAGTGCTGTGAGCCTAAGTGCACTTGTGAAAGGTGATTGTTGAGTCAGTAATTGTTGAGCTGGTGATTGTTGAATTAGTGATACAGTTTGTAGGGTCATAGGAAATGAAGAGTCAATCAAAAAGCAAATATGGCAAATAACGACGCAACTGATTTGCATCGATAGTCTCTGAAAAAGCATTTTAGATGACCTAAAATTTGTTGAACATTGCATATTGATTTTGCAGTTCGTAATTTTTTTTAAGAAAAAGTTAGGAAGTAAATGAGAAGAAAGTTTTTAGCTTTCTACTACTCCATCTTGATACAAAAAAAGGATGAGGGAATCTTCCAAAGAAAGGAAGGAAGTAATCAATTTTAAAATAAGTAAATCTATACATGGATGTGTAGATCATGCAAAGAAGTAACTTTCAGACACAAACTGAAAAAAAGTCCTCCTGAAACAGCTACTTTCATATAAACATTGAATTAAACGAAATAAAAAATTCTTTCGAAACAAATACTTCTATATGAACACTGAATTATACAGAAGATACTTACTTTAAATGAATGGTAACAAATTGCACTCACATGGAACACTGTCATCCTCACTGATATAAATCGATGTTTCGCCTTAAGACACTTGCCCCAAGGCTCTTCAGTACTGGAGAGCCTCTGACCAAATTCCCAAATAACCTATGAGATATTCATTTACTGAGGATGTTTTATAGCTATCCTATTGACCAAAATGTAGAGTTACGGACTTGATTTTAGTGTTGTTGATGCTGAATCGTTCAGAGCAATCAATTGTAAACATTGTTAACAAATAATCATACTTTAAAATTTCGGTAATTAAAATTTATATTAGCAACATAAATTCGAACATTCGTATACGTTCAACGTATTGATGTTGACTTCAAATTTCAGAAAACAACATTCCCATGGGAGCGAACGTCTGGAAGAACAAACTCTTCATAACAGTTCCACGAAGACGATTGGGAGTACCATCTACATTGAACTACGTATCTCTGGACAATCCGAATCGTCAAAATACCCCTTTGATCCCTTACCCCAACTGGAGTAAAAATCTGTATCCCGATCCACGCAATACTGGTCAAAATTTTGTGTCGGTATACAGGGTGGCAGCCGATCCCTGTGACAGGCTTTGGTTCGTCGATACGGGTTTGATTGAACTACCAGGTAAAATATAATTTTTTGATAATCTTCACTTTCTACAAGAGGAATCAAGTTAAAATATTTCACCTTCTTAGTTCATCATAATTCATTGAAATCTGATGATAATGTCCACTACTGTTCCATTTATGACTTGGTACTCCATAATGTTTGGTTTAAAAGAGGTATTCACAATGGCTGCAGTAATTTAGAGTATTTTACCAATTGGAAGGAAGATTTATAAAGTACTGAGGCCACATCTGGTCTATTGATACTTCATCTATTTCTGAATTTTGAATAAATGCCCTATTCTTGCCTGTAGTTTAAAATAAGAACTGAATTTTCATTCTTTGCCATCATTTTCATATCATTAAAATTTTTAACTGCTGCTAACCTAAATTTATGTATATTTTGCTAAGGTAGATAAACTCCAAAATATCACACCGTATCTTAGCCTACTTTCAACTTGTGCTTAGTAGAGCTGTATCAATTGATCAATATAAGATTTATAAAGTACTGAGGCCACATCTGGTCTATTGACACTCCATCTATTACTGAATTTTGAATAAATGCTCTATTCTTGCCTGTAGTTTGAAATAAGGACTGAATTTTCATTCTTTGCCATTATTTTCATATCATCAACATTTTTAACTACTGCTAACCTACATTTATGTGCGAATTTAGAGGACTTATACTGTTACAATTCCTACCAGAATGTTGGCTAACTTCGTGATATGACAGACCATGAAAAAAAATCGTCAGAGGTGCAATTACAAGTTGGAGGCGCAAGTTATTCGACTTAGCTTTTCAAATATATCTCAATTTCATTATTTCGGACTTCCATGGTCTAATATAATATAAATTGAATTGAAATCCCTAAAAGAATCAAGTTACTTCACGACGTTTCGATTGTTAGTATCCACAATTGTCTTCGGGTGATAAATGGACTTATTCCTCAGAGATCTGACTGTTTGTAGGTCATTTGAGTGCTTTCATCTATCCTCTCTTTTCTCTCTCCGCTTCATCGGTTTTAGCGGAAGCCGAACGTTTGGCGGGAGTCGGTCTTGTTCCGCTTGATTAGAGTTTTGTATATGTTGCGTGTATCTTGGCTGAATGCGTTGTTAGACAACATATATGCGGCTTCTTTGAATTGTCTCCTAAATCAGTGTTCCTCCTTGTGGATGACTTCAGCTTCTGTCCACTTGGTGTTATGTTGATGAGTTCAAACATGCTCTGCTATTCCTGATTTGCTGGTTTCACCTCGCTGTGTGTGTTTTTTGTGCTCGGCAATGCGAACTATCAATGGTCTCTGAGTTTCACCGATGTATGATTCTCCGCACTCGCAGGGTATCCGTTAAATGCAATTCTTGGAATCGCAGTCCGCGTTTGGTGGCCTGGTTTTCGTGAGGCTGTTATGGATAGTGTTTCCAGATCTGAAACACGTTCTGATGTTATACTTGGACCCAATCCTTCTTATCCTTTCCGACAATTTTCTGATGTAGAGAAATACAAATACTGGTTGTGGCGGCTTCTGTGGAGGAAGAGCTCCACAAGGAAGAGAATTCGCTCCTGTGAAGCAAGAGCTCCACAAGGAAGAGAAGCCGCCAGTACTTGTACTTCCTTACATCCGAGGATTGTCGGAAAAGATAAGAAGGATTGGGTCCAAGTATAACATTAGAACCTGTTTCAGATCTGGGAATACTATCCGAGCAGCCTCACGAAAACCAGGCCACCAAACGCGGACTGCGATTCCAAGAATTGCATTTAACAGATACCCTGCGACTGCGAAGAATCATACACCGGTGAAACTAAGAGGCCATTGAAAGTTCGCATTGCCGAGCACAAGAAATACATACAGCGAGGAGGAACCAGTAAATCAGGAATAGCAGAGCATGTTTGGACTCATCAACCTAACATCAAGTGGGCTCAAGCTGAAATCATCCAAAAGGAGGAAGACTGGTTGAGGAGAAAATTCAAAGAAGCCACATATATGTTGTCCAACAACTCATTCAGTCAAGCTAGTGTAGAGATACGCAACATATGTAAACCTCTAGTCAAGCTGAACACGACCAACTCCCGTCAAACGGTCAGCTTCCGCTAAAACCTATGAAGCGGTGAGAGGGAAGAGGGGATAGGTAAAAGCATTCGAATGGCCTACAAATAGTCAGATCTCTGAGGAATAAGTCCAGTTATCACCCGAAGGCGATGGTGGATACTAACAATCGAAACGTCGTGACGTAACTTGATTATTTCAGGGATTCCAAATCAATTTATATCATATTAGACAATGGCAGTCCAAACTAATGAAATGCACCACGAACCATTGTCAATCACCTTCGAACAAAAGATAACAGTCATCCTCTTGAAGCTACATTTGTCAAATTAGTTGTCATTTATTCAGTCTGTTTTGCCATATCACTACGACGGATACGACATTCAAAAACACGTACAAATAATGAAATTGTTTTATCAAAATGGGTGTTGTGTTCGTGCAATGTACCGCGCGCTTCGCCCATTTTACTGTCGCCATAATCGTCCTACCGAGAGGACTATTCGTAATGTGGTGGATGAATTTGAGTCCACTAGTACAGTGAACGTTCGAACAATACCTGTAAGTCAACGAAACGCTAGGTTTGCCCCTGAACATATCCGCTGTCTGTGAGAGTATGCAGGAGAATCCGAGACAGTTGATTTCGTATCGCTGGCAAGAACTCGGCCTTCCGCAAACCACAACTTGGCGAATTTCGCATCGTGTTTTGGGTCTGCACCTGTACAAAATTTAACTGAGCTAGGAACTGAAGGTGAACGACCATAGACAACGACGTGTGTTCGCTGAATGTGCTCTGGAGCGGTTGGTAACTGACCCTAATTTTCATCGAATATTCATCTTCAGCGATCAGGCCCATTTCTGAATGAATGGGTACGTGAACAAACAAAATTGTCGATTTGGGGACGATAGCAATCCACATGAGATCCAAGAGCGTCCAATGCATCCCGAAAAAGTCACTGTGTGAATTTTTTACTGACAGCGGATTCGGTCCATATATCTCTGGGAACGTAACGGCCACCCAGCTCATAACAATTTGAATGTTCTGCAAGAGCGATTTGAGGACATGGTCATCTCACGTGGAGGTGATGTGAACTAGCCACAGAGAGCATGCGATTTGACCTCGTTAGACTTTTTCTTGTGGTGTTTTCTTAAGTCGCAGGTATATGCGAATGAGCCACAAATCACAGCGGTCCTCAAAGCCAACATAACCCATGCCATCGATCTAATTCAGACTGATTTATGCGCCATAGTCATAGAAAAATAGACGTTTTGGAAGCGCTCCATCCAAAGAAGCCATGGCAAATATTTGAATGATGTCATATTCCACACATAATGACATTATTAGATCTAAAAAAATTTGATGGTATCAGATACACACACTTTGGTTTATTTAAAATTGAAGACAGAAAGCGCTGAATAAAATACCCTGTACTATATTACAGTAATATTCTTTCTCAGGAAATCCAATAAGAGTACGACCCCCAACTCTTATTATCATGGACCTCAATACGGATCAAATTATTCATAGTTTCGAAATACCAGAAGACCAATTGAGGCCGAATTCCGCTCTCGCTAGTCTGTCAATAGATGTTACGAAAAGTACCTGTGGAGATGCATTTGCGTACATACCAGATTTAGGTAAGTTAATAATAAAAATTCCATAAAATTATAAATATTCTACGGAATACTTCCACACAGTTCTGAGTTTCCAATCTTCATTTACTTTCATAATTTTGCAACGGGGTTTGTAAATCACTTCATATATAATGGATTTAGCTGATGATGAGAATCCAGTGAGCATTCAAGTGATATTTCATCGTGAGAGTTTCACTAAATATCACAAAATCAAAACATGTGTTTCACTGTATAAACAATAACGAAACGGTTCAGCGAAAATCTCACAATAAATTATTGCTTGGAAAATCACTTGAGTTTTCGAACCTCTACTCGTGTGGTTTCTAACCAGTTTTTTTGTGAGAATTGCATTTCGTCATAATTTGTTTTTCTAAAAACTCTCTGGGCAGAAAACATAAAACACAAATCATCTAACACGGCCAGTAAGCGACAACAGTGAATGCTGAAAATGCCCAAAAACCAATTCCGAATCAGATGTAATGCGTGTTCTTTGACACCAGTTTTGATGCCTCGATTAGTCTGACCCGAAGTCCTCACAACTCGTTTCATATATCCTCTACTTTTCAGTTCCAAAAATTTTGTCCTTACGGTTTGAAAGCTTCTTTCACGTTTAACTTTTCAAAATACTATCTATATCATTAGTGGACGATGAACTCTTAATCTATCTCTTTTTGAAAACCCAAAGATTTTTTCAGAATTTATGTTTCCTAATCATCTTATTTATAATATTCGAAAAATACCTGTTGCTTTCAGTTATGTCCCTCATGATATTTTTTTAATATTGTACCTTCATCTGCTCAAGGAAACCTTGCAAGCCTATGGACACGAAAGTTCAGATCTGCCATTATGTGTTGTGGACAATAAAAATAAATAGGTTTAAAATAAGTTTTTCCCGTTAACCAGCTATCGCACCCCTACGAACAATAACTCTCAAAAGTCGACACGTTTGCGAGCTAAGGACTAACGAGGTCTTACCTTTTAACGTGTGATTCCTAACACGGGTTGGACGAAAGCAAGTGAAAATCGGACGATTGACTGAGTGAACAAAGCACGTCGAACCGCCCGGTTCGACCGCACGTCGAAATTATAAATAAACATTATTCTTCAATTTTCCGCAAACCATAATATACGGTCATTGTCATATATAATTCCTCAACACATCCCTATCAGCATAAAGTGGCAGCATTTAATAGTATGCTCCACAGACCCTTGTATATTCTACTGTCAGAAAGTAATTTCCAGAGAGAAATGAGGTCATAAAGTAGGTATTATTGACTGCATCATTTTCAGAAAACTACGAATCATAATTAATGCAATTTTATTAAAAACAATAAAAGACAAAACTTCAACGTCGTATAGACCAGGAGATATAATTTGACTTGTGATTCTTGCCCAAAATTTTATATTGGCCAAATGAGGTAAACATTTTCCCAAAGAATAAAAGAATATAAAAATAGTTTATTGAATGTGAAGGCCAATTCTACATTTGCAAACCATATTTTGGCAGGGCAACATTAGTTCAACTACGTCTGTGACGTATCAAATTTAAATTTTTAATGAATGTTTGAATTTTTAATGAGTTTATAACTGTACTTCTTTGAAAGTATCAATCATTTAGTAGGAAGTTTCTTCAATTATGTTTAAATTTTCAATCAGTCTTTGTCAAAATTATAAGTCATTATAAGTCAAATGAAAATTTGATAAGTTCAACTTTAGCGGAGTAGTATTTTTTACATTCGTGATTGCTCATCCACAAGTAACGGATGAGACCTTCAAGTCAGATCCTAGTCACTAATATTTATATAAAAACTCAAATCGTCTAATTGAAGTAGATAACTGTTCACGAGTATTCGAATATACGATTTCAAGGCCATCAGGTGATATTAAAGTAATTGACTAGCGAATTTATTTCTGTATTGTAGCTGAGCCACATCTCAGGATTATTTTTATGGCCAATTAATTTATCGTTCGAATTTTCATCGTAGTAACTTTGGACTCTGGCATAGTTTCTCTAAAACTGACCGGAATATTAGAATTCTCAATTGAAAAAGAATACCAAATTCAATTTTATGAAAACAAAAAATGTGTAATATGATCGTTGGAATAAAACCTATATAATAAAGGTTTTACTGTGTATTTGTTGTATTGTACAACTTACATATCTTCGTTTTTTCAAAAGGCATGAGTCTCTTTAAAACGAAGGTTTCGGGCAACTGATTGATGTAGGTGCTCTTTTACCTATTGTCATATTGTATTTTAAGAAAGCTTTCGATTCGATAGATACGTTTACACTCATTTTACGAATATACTGACACCAACCATGATGAATATACAATTCTCATAATGAACTTTCTTTAGTTCGTCTTTCACTACACGGTATTTTCTTCTTTTAGACTGGTACAGAGTGGACCAAAGTGGACACTTTCAAAGTTGAAATCTTGTTATCAAACTATTGTTTTTCGAAAATTGGAATTCTCTAAAAGTTGTATATCCCTGTATATTTCAATAGAGCCCTAAATTATCTTTCCAAAAATATAGCCCACTTGATGTTAGGTTAGGGTTAGGTCCAAAGTGAGTGGGTCTAATCGACTCTCCACCGCAACCCACAAGGGTTTATTGTGGCTCACACCTACTCACACTCGACCAAACAAATCCAGCTTCCTAACCAAGCCGATTAATTTGTATGTTGAGTGGTATTTGAGGTCGGATAGTGACAAGAGTTTATCAACTCAGACCAGGGGATTTTGAATGCCGCAGTGGCTCCTGAAAAGTTGTAAGTCCATGATTTTTCGTTAAATTGTATGTGAACAAATGAAGTTCATGCGAGCAGTGCCGCTATTTTCAACCGCTTTAATTCTTGTACTTGGGCACAAAAAATCTTCATTCTATAATGGAACAAAGAAGTCAAGGAAGATTTGGATTCACTATGTGGGCAGGTGTTTCAGGGGTGTAAGTATGACACTCTTTTTGATGAATTGCCCCCAATGGAGCTCAGAGAGTATATTTTCAACAGGTCTTGCCTCACAACACTGCAATTGTTACCAATTTTTTGTCTGCAAATTTTGTTATTAATTCGATAGCCATCCAAGGACCCAACCATTGACCGGCCAGGCCACCGGACCTAATGTCTATGGACTTTTACCTCTGGGGAAGGTTGAACGATGTTATTTCCTAATTGCCGACCAATTCAAAATACGTATTGGAAGCGGCAGTAATACAAAGTTTTGCTTCTCTCACCCCTATGGAACTAATTAATTCGGCAAACAATATTCAGAAAAAGTGTCGCCTGTGAGTAGGAGAAGGACACTTCGAGCGCCTTTTCTAAAAAATATATTTGATTGTTCGTTCTTATTATTGATGAAGTAAATTTCATTTATCAGGAATAAATATAGTATAATTTTTTTCATTGAATCTATGCGTTTTAATTACTGCTTTGAGAATCTCTCTCGAAATTTGATAGCTACTACTGAACAATGTCCTCTGTTTTGTTGCCGCGTCGCGTCGTCCAAAGCATACTTGATCAAAGTGTGCGTTTCAAAGTCTGCATGAAAAATCCCATAAGCTCTGTATTTCAAAGATGACTCAAGTGTGCCGCATTTTTGAAAAGATAAGTTTGGGCTTCATTGAAATATGCAGGAATATACAGGGTTCCTCATTGAAAAAATAGTTTTCCATCAATAACCATTGATATCTCATTTCTTAAATGAAACGTTCACTATTCAGTTTTTCAATAACGAATGAACCAATTTCGAAAAAAATTACAGAAGTAACAGAGAGACAAAAGACCTTTGAAATGATATCATTCTACCTCCCCCCCATGCCATTGAAAAAAATAGGGGGGGGAGTTGCCGACGCAGGGGGTGAAGTTTCGGGTATGACTTTAATATCACAATTAGTCCCCCTAGAAATTAAAATTGAAGTGTTCTTTGGGATTTTCGATTGCACATCCGTTTCCGAATTTCAGGTTGTCCACTTTTTGATGGAACGTCCTGTATATCTACCCAAAGTGTTACCCGTTAAATACATTTTTGGAAACTTAGACGGACAGTTTTTTCGAATTTGAAAATTTCATTATCAGTAGTGATATTTGTCAAACATTGTCATTTTGCAGGAGGATACGGTTTGATAGTTTATAGTTTGCGAGAAAACAAATCTTGGAGAGTGAGTCACAACTATTTCTACTTGGAACCAACTGCTGGTGAATTCTTCGTTTCCGGACACCGTTTCCAATGGAATGACGGAATTTTCAGTACAGAATTGACAAGTCCAAAACAGAATGGATATAGGGATCTATATTTCCACTCAATGGCAGGTACCAACATGTACAAAGTATCCACGAAGATTCTGAGAAATGAAACTGCTTCAACCAGGTCTTATCACGAAGACGATTTCCAGGTAATGTATTCTCAATATTCTGCAGATTTGCAGTAATATGCAATTCTATGATGAGATCATAACTCAATCGTCTTTGTTTTCTTAAACAACAGCTAGTTGACTGTTTGACAATCGGAAGTGCACAATACTTGGTATTTATGACATCAATCATTACAGTAAATCTAATTAAAAGAATTTAGGATATGAGATTTTTGAAAATATATAAATTTTTCGTAAATACATAACTTTTTGATAAGAGATAAAATAGTAGGGGTCTTAGATATCATAGGTTTTTTAACCAACACTTTTTCATTTTTGGGAATCACTTTAGCCGTTTCCATTTTCCTATTACCCCAAAAAAAGTTAGTAGTTCCCTTTTCATACCGAGTGATGCACCACTTGTTTTTCTTATCAATAAGTACAAAAAATTATACCTTTCTGCGTAAACTTTGTCCGATTTTGTTATCTTATGCCGTTCAGAAGCTTTATGTTGGGGTACTATTTATGTCCACACTACATATAAGAATATTAGGAGAGCTGAAGGGTTATATCAGGGCCGCAAAGGCCAAGAAAGTTCCGGGGATCGATTCAACAACCAAAATGTTGTTGGAGAAGCTCCAGACAACTGCGTCAAGAACCTTCTCGATATAATAAACAGTTCGTTGATACTTCCCCAGGAGGTGGAAGCATGCGATGTTATTCATGCTCTGGCTGCTCCCACAGAACTATCGCTCGATAAGTCTAATTTTGTTGGCGGCTAAGCTGGCTGAAAGAGTCGTTTTGCAAAGGCTCAATAAAGAAGTTGAGGACCGAAATTCCTGCATAACAAACAATTCGGATTCAGGAGAGACAACTCCACCGAGTTACAGGCTCTGAGACTGGTTGAGAACACCATTCGAAAGCTAAACCATAATTGTAAAGTTCATGTCGTTCTTTTAGACATCTCGAAGGCTTTCGACCGTGTATGGCATAAGCTAGTCACGTTCGACCTGCCTTGGGACCTGATCCGGTGGATTGAGTCGGCTCCCTGTCTGACAACAGAGAGATCCTCGCTGGGGTGCCACAGGGAGCTGTACTCTCTCCCACGTTATACTCTACACCAGCGATCTCCCGAGCGTATGAAGATGTCTCTCTACGCCGATGAAACAGCTCTCCTCTCATCTTCCATGGGTCGAGAGCTCGTGATCGACTACATACAAACTGCAACCCAGAAAAGACTCAGGCGATAACCATGGAAAGAACGATATCTTCTTCGGCTAGGAAAGTGAGGGTATCTGGAAGGGAGATGAACTGGCAAGCGCGGGTAAAGGACCTCGGCCTTCTAATAGATCGTAGGCTCACCTGGAACTCGCACATTGAATCCGTTAAAACAAGAATCGAGGGTCAGATCAGATGTTTGTACCCTCTGATCAATAGAATATAAAAAATTAGTTTGAAAAACAAAATTATCATCTATAACACGATGTTCAAGCCTGTCATCATGTATGCTTCAGACATCTGGGGGCAAGCGGTTCCGTCTAACATTTTTATTCTGGAGATATTACAAAATAAGCTAATACGGATGATTTTAAATGCTCCTTGGTTTGTGGGGAACGAAGCCATCCGCAGAGATTTGCAGCTACCTTCCATTCAGCAGTCCATTCAGTTGAGGAATCGGCGAGTTTTTGATTGCGCAGAAACTCACGATAATTCGTTAGTTGGGGAAGCTATTGACTATGCTGTAGACGACTCCTTCCGATATAGAAGGCCCCGTTAACAGATGAACAATTTTTCATCCATCTCACCCCAGCCAGGTAAGGGGTACACCATGAAAGGCGGTATTGATGTCTAAGGGCACTCATGCCATCATCCCATGATCAGTTATGACCCGTTTGTTCTTCTGACAAACATCAGTTGAAAGGGTAAGGGAGCCAGGCTCCAACCTGATCGAAATTAAGATGACTATCGAACGACCAAAGAATGAATCTTCGATACTTCCACATATAGTCAGTGGGCATACTTGAAGACTGGCTATAAATCAAATCATCTAAGAACAATCCGTTCAGGCCAGTCTCAACTCCCTACACAGTATTCAATTATTGGAACACACTTGCAGATTGGTTTCGGGCTGTTTGGCCACTCGTCAGTGCAAGGAAATCTATTGCGGCAGTTGTATCGCCAACAGCATATGCAGGAATAACTTCTGTGAAAAATCCTGCACTGACACCTGTCGGATATAATCCAACACCCTTCGTGGTATTAGCCAGGGGAGTAGTTGTTTTCTAATACGTGTCAGTCCATTAACCTACTGTGTAGGGAGTTGAGACTGGCCTGAACGAATTGTTCTTGAATGATTTGACTCGATACTTGATGAAACTTCATAATGACATGATCAAATAACACAAAACTAATTATTTAGTACTGAACACGCCAGAAAAAGCTATTTCATTCAGTGAAACGTGAAGCGTGAATAAGATTGTACCCCAAAAATGCAGTTTATGTACCCAAGCTATTCTTAAAAAATTTTTGGAGATATCTTATTCTCTTTGTGGGAAAAAAGCACACATCTCTGATGAACTGAATCTATGGGAGCATGATAATGGACACTACAATCATACAATGAATCATTGGGTGAACAAAAAAATCACCGTTGATGAATTTCGTCATCCAGACAGACAGAACCTATGGAGTGCACGACTATTAAACCAAATGCAGAAGTACCAAAACAAAAAGGACATCTACAGTACTCTTCGTCTCTGATGTTGAATATTCAATCCGTTAGAAACAAATATTCTGGTCTGTGCTTTTTTCTTGAGAACTTGCCATTCCTGAGCAGCATCCCCATAACTGAATATTGGTTGGATTTAAATGAAAAAAATGCATTTACCGTAATATAGCATAGACTTAACGTTTTGCTGATATTCAACTTATGGTGGTACTATAGTTTTGATCAACGATAACCCAGTGTAATTCTTCTCAATTCCGTTAAAATTGATGACGTCAATATACACAATTCCCCTAGTGAATCTTCTAGGTAGCTTTGAAACAGATAATGAGCATATATCAGTTTAGGTTCATGAGTAGAAAAAATGTAGATTGTCTAAGATATTTCAAGTTCATCCCAATCTCAGTACTGGCTGCATTGCTGTATCTCTCACATTTCTTTTGAATTTGGTGAGAATTGTACAGGAGTTTTTGGTATTTGTATCATGCACATTCAGTTTCCAGAGCTTCAAAGTGTTCATAGAACAATAGAAGAATAGTCCAGTTGGTTACCTCTTTCACAGGCAGATGGGGCGATGAAAAACATGTTGTTTGTTGTTCGCTTCAGCTTAGTTGGAGGGATGATACTCTGAATTGATTCGATTTTCATTTATCGGAAATCATCGACATCATGTTGATGATAGACACTACCTTGCACTGACGAGTGGCCAAACAGCCCGAAACCGGTCTGCAAGTGTGTTCCAATAATTAAAAATCGATTGCGGCAGTTTTATCGCCAACAGCATATGCAGGAATAACTTCAGTGAAGAATTATCCACTGGCACCTGTCGGATATAATCCAACGCCCTTTGTGGCATTAGCCAGGGGAGTAGTTCTTTTGTGCTAGGTGTCAGTCCATTAACCTACAGTGTAGGTAATATGAGACTGGCCTGAACGAATTGTTCTTTTAAATGATTTGGTCTAGCGAATAATATGCTGAACTACTTAACTCACTACCTAACATCGAAACTCACTGTTGAGGGTAGACTCGGCATGCTGAAATGTTCACTCAATATCCGTGATAGAAAATTCTGATATATTCAAAGCACTTTCCTGTTCTAGAATAAGATGGGCTGAACATTTATTGGAGGAAATAAACTATCTATAGTCTATTTCAAAAGAGTGTAGAGTAATAAAATCTCATTAAGTATTCAAAAGCGCTACAGGGTGATCCGTCAATAAATTCTGTCACTTCCCTATTAGTATCCACTTGGGTACAATTTTCAAGCGATTTCTTAAAAAGTCTCTAAATTTTTTTTCTTCTGTGGTATATATTTCTACCTTCCAAATGAACCTTTCAGTGTCTTCTCTTGTCTTTGAAATATATTAATAATTGTTTTGAATACCATCATAATAGTTCATTCTCTGAAAACCTGCTGAATATTGAACATTCATTTTCTTGTGACTGATTTAAAAGTTGTTTGGTGGTTTCATAAACTTCTGATTATTGATTTTTCGCATTCGTTGTAAGTGTTTTTGTTTCACTGGTTTTGTCCCCAATTTTTTCCCCTTTGTTTTGTCCAGTAATATTTTCTCATTCATTTTCTATGATGATAGTTGTTGGGAATCACACGTTAAAAGGTAAGACCTCGTTAATCCTTAGCTCGCACAAGTTTCGACTTCTGAGGGTTGTCGTTCGTAGGGGTGCGACAGCTGGTTAACGGAAAAACAGATTTTAAAACAGATTTTTTAAAAACTTTGTTTCTTGCGGGTGGTGGTCTGGAATGTTTTCGATCTCAAAATAAAGATGGCAGCATTCATATATAAAAGTTAGTGAATTTCGTTGTTCATCTGTTGACAGTTACTCATTAAAGTTTCAGCCAATAAATGATAAAATCAGCCAAACAAAGGAAGATTCATGTGGTGTGTCTCAAGGAACGGTGAAAGTAAAAATTGAAAGGGATTTTGTCAAAATTGGAACATAGTTTGACTACAGACTATCACCACTGAATTTCAAAAAAAGGTTCACTTACGATTCAGTATCTTCGAGACATCTCTTTCAAAGTATGATACAACCATACAAAATTCATTCGCAAGAAGACCAGCAAATGAAATTGAATATTTGGAAATAATGTTGAATCGATTTTTCATATGGAAACTCATGTGGACTACTTGACAAAAAAAATTGAGGTGTATTTTCTATAGGTTTAAAAAATTTGTTGAATTCTTGAATATAAAAGAAAGAGTTATAGTCTATCATAGTTTGGTAAAATCACACATGAGCTAAGGAATAACAGGTTGTGGAGATGTTTCAAGAGCACACTATAATGCAATACAGACTTTGCAAAATAAATTTTTGAAATTACTACTAAATAAAAACCATAGGGACCCCACCGATCAAATTTTTGACATTTTTTTGTACGATATTGAATCATCATATATAACATCTACCGGGCTTTCGTTCGTAAGATGAGTTTAGATATAAGTATGGATTAAGATTTCATATATTTTAACTATTGATTTTATTTTATTCTTTAATTGCCTCACCATGTTCAAACTATTCCCCAGATAGTTTCTGTGGTCTTATATGTGTTTATTGAAGTGTTTTTTATTTCAACTTGTACCTGTACCATATTTATGTCAATGAACATTCATTCATTCATTTTGGACAGGCAGTTGTTATGTGACAATCTTTTTTATAAAAATGGATAATATCGAGTATCGTGCTGCCATTAAATATTTGTTTTTGAAAGGCAATATGCCAACCCAAATCAAAGATGAGTTGGATTATGTGTATGGGGAGTCTACACCATCATCTACCACAGTGAAATTTTGGGCAGCTAAATGGAACGTGTCCATAAAAACTTGGGAGACGATGAACGTTTGGGACGTCCATAAACTGCCTCTACCGACAAAAACACCGCCAAAGTTCACGAAATGGTACTTCACAGCCGCCAAATTAACGTGGAAGAGATAGCAGGTGGTATGGACATGTCAAATGAACGTGTTTGAACATATAGTGAATCAACATTCAGGTATAAGAAAGCTGTCCGCGCATTGGGTGCCACATTTGCTCACGTTAGACCAAAAACTTGTTAAAATGAACATTTTCAACGCTCCGTTGGCGTAGTTCAGGCGCAATGAATCTGAGTTTTGGCCCCAATTATAACTTGGATACACCGTTAAATGCCCGGAATAAAAATACAGTCCAACCAATGGATTGCAACAGGAGACCCGGTTCCAAAAAAGCAAAAACTGTTTTTTTTTCTGGGAAAGTGATGGTGACTGGATAGTCAAGAAGTTATTTCAATTGATCATCTTTTAAAAGAAAAACCATTACAAGATCAAACTACGCATCATTACTAGACATGCTGGAGACAGAACATGCAAAAAAACGGCCACATTTGCAGACAACGGACTGTTTCACACCTCAGATATTGCCGTGGCGAAAATCTACAAAATACGGTTTGAACTGCTTGACAATCCGCCTCACTTTAGATCTAGCTCCAAGCGACTTCATTTTGTTCCCTTGTCAACTGAAGAGGCAATCACCTTCATGAACAATTATTTTATAGAGAAGTTAAAAAGAGACTATGTTTGAAAACAAAAACTGAAAAAATGTCTTGTATCTTTGTTAGGTCGAAAACTTTTCAGGCTACCCTCTCGTATACTCGAATTACCTATTTGTAGAAATTTCCCTTGTACTTCCTTCACTACCTTCATCGTATGATCTGGTGAATGCCTGCCGGAAAACAATTAATTTGTCGGCTAATACCTCGCTGGATATTGAATTGTATCCGGCAGACATTAATGTAAGATATCTCACAGAAATAAGTCTTGTAAATGAATCTCGTATATGGTCCTGCTGCTGAATCCATAAAAGACTTAATATCAAACTCACTTCGACAAATCGATCACAGCGGCATACTTTTCTTCACTCATAGGACTCAATAAAATATTACGTTTGAACTGTTTGCCTATTTGAACTGATTCTTTCTTGAAGCTCTGAATGAACTCTCTTCAGTTCATTCTATCTCAAAAGATTGAGAAAAGTTTGTCAAATGTCCCCAAATCAGTGAAAATTGTAATTAGACAAGGTCGTACTAGCCTGTTTGCAACAATATCAACCATTCCTTACTAAAACATATTTTCTTCAGAAACGTTTTATTTTTCAGAACATTGGTGATAGAGGTGCACAATCCCAAACCTCATCTGCCGACATTCATGAACCATCTGGAGTAATGTTTCTAGGACTCGTTAACCAAAATGCCTTGGCTTGCTGGAACACAGACCGCCCCTTGAATACGATATCGCTCGTACAAAGAGACGATAAAACCATGATTTATCCTTGCGACGTTAAAGTTCGTAACGACAAAGTTTACCTGCTCACAAACACTATGCCCGAATTTTTATTTGGACGACTGAACTATGACACAGTAAATTTCAGGGTATGGTCAAATACGGTTGAAAATGCCATTGCAGGAACGATGTGTGAGACGACTCGATTCAGAGGAAATGGCAGAGGAAAGTATTACTAGTTCATTCGTTTTTGCTGGATGCTGAAATGAAGTTGTGTACAAATTATTTATTAGATATTCAGATATATGTTGTTATTTTCAATAAATTATAACATGTATTGTTATTTTTAATCAAATTTCAGTTGGTCCTTATCATGTTCGTGTCGTGAAACAATACTAATAATGATAATTGCAATGATAATACGATCATTGTGAATACTCAATACATGTTAACATATCAAAATACAAAAAAATAGGACCAACATTAGGTCGGAGAAAACACTGAATATTCAAATCAACTAAAGGAACAATTCGTTCAGGCCAGTCCCAACTCCCTACACTGTAGGTTAATGGACTGACACCTATCAGAAAACCACTACTCCCCTGGCTAATACCACGAATTCCTTAAGAGTATATTTTCTCGAACTAGGCTGAAGCGGACAACAAACAACAGTTTTGTCATCGCCACATCTGCCTGTGAACGAGGTAACCAACCTCCAAAAATTGCTCGATTCCTCGTATAAGAAAAGAACATTTTTCACATATAGTCAGTGGGCATACTTGAAGACTGGCTAAAAATCAAATTATCTAAAGGAACAATTCGTTCAGGCCAGGCGATTGTTGCATTCATGTATATGAATATCTGTTTTTTTGTTGAAGTGATATTTAAAATTCACACTGAAATAATATAGATTGACATCTGACCTCTTTTAGTCGAAAGTCAGCCTTCAGGTGCTTTTACTTTCTAATCTGTTGTTTTTTTTATCATGGCTTTCCTAACTGAATTTTAGCATGGAATCCCCAAAAACTAACCGTAGACGAATAACTTTTGTCGCAAGCAGTTTTGTTTCTCAGTGAATCTGAAAATAAGGTGAATTCGAAATCTGGTTAAGAAATTGTTATACTTGCCGGAGTCACCTGACAGCGACTCTCGGATGTGATCTCTGGTTCTGCTTCCTTGGCCTCCTGTGTTTGTCCCTCTCTCGGCATCTAGGGTTATCCCTGTTCAGTGCATTCAGATTGCTTAGCACTGGATTGTCGTGCGCTCGAATTCTGTCAAACGTGTCCTCTGCGTACTGTCTCATATTTGCATCTACGTAGTGTATGTTCAGGTCTAAATCCCGGAATATGTACTTATTCGCTACATATCTTGAAGCGTTTACGGTGGCCCTTACGCACGCCTTCATAAACGACTAGATCTGCCCTCTGTATTTCGCTGCGCACTGACCCCAGGCAGTACAGGCACACAGGATTATCGGTAATATTGCGGTCTTTAGCAACAGCAGCTTCACTTTCAATCCCATGTTGCTTTTTCGACTTATTATTGGTAATAGGTTTTGTCGAGCAGATCTCGCCATTACTATTCTCTGCCGTACGTAATATCTGAACGTTAGTCTTTTGTCTAGGTTGACCCCCACGTATCTAGCTTCGTTTGTCCACGAAATCTCTTGTCAGTTGAAGATGACGTTTCCTTCTGGGTGTACCATCCTCCGTGTGAACAGTATTGCTTGACTCTTGCCAGGGTGTATACTGATCTTCCACAGGTTGGCCCATTCCTCTAATCTATCTGCATGTTGCTGCAAGTATCGTGACGTGCGCTTGTTAAAATTGTTCTCCGGCTTGGGCACGTCTGCTGTGTTTACCGAGAAGAGGAGTAGTGAAAGGACTACACCTTGTGGGACCCCTGCTTCCAGTAATCGCATGGTGAGAGTTCTTGTCCTACTCTGGAGCGGCATCGCCTGTCAGCTAGAAAATACTCGATTAATCTTACCTGTGGTTTCGTGGAGCCAAAGTTGCTCATTTTGTCCAGAAGTCCGTCATGCTAAACTCTGGCAAACGCCTTGGAGACGTCTAAGAAAATCGCTCCGGTGTTGTATCCTTTGCCGAGGTTGAAGCCTTCCGTCGCAAAGTCTATTACCCTCAGGAGTTGCAACTCTGTCGAGTGTACTGATCTGAAACCGAACTGTTCGTTGGTTTGGTTCTCTGATTTTTTCAGGATGACACGTTCTGCTCAAAGACGGGGTTGAGCTGATTGGCCTATGGTTATCTGGGAATAGGTGGTTCGTCTTTGACTTCGAGATATGGATAACCGTCGCCTCTCTAAAACGGAAAGTGCTGCAGTCTGGGTATAGCATTTATTCCCTTTCTTGCTTCTATCATCATTAGCTACTCAATTGTCGAAATCAAGCAAAACTCGTGCCTCTGTCTTGCTCTACCGACGAAGTACTGACTTTAACACATCAAGTATTCGTGCATCTGACACCTTGGTTCCTCCAACTTTCACTCTTGCGATGACTTCAGTTTTCACTGCCAGCAGCTGAAGTCATGATAATTCGGAAAAATCATCAACACTACCAGAAGCTTATAGAAGGGAATAAATAAAAAATCTAAGCTATATGGAATTTCAGCCTCCGAAAATATACAGGTATGGAGAAATATTAATGAAAGAGCTTTATTTAATGACGCACTTTTTTCCCGCGGCTGGCTCCCCAGTTGGAATATTCAGGAATCATTTCTTACTACACATCTACAACATGAAAAAAACCTACATACATATAGTAGAAGAACTGCAGGGAGAAATTATACAGAAATATTAAGTAAAAAGTATACTTGGCAAAGGGAAAAATAAAATTAAAAGTTACCCCAAAATGTTTAACACCCTTTGCACGCTCTAATACTTCATTATCCATGGTGTAATAAAAAATAAATAGGTGTTTTATTATATTCATGACATTCGTTCATGTTGAATGAAAGTTTATCATCATAACTATATTTTACTATATTGTTTATAACTATATTTTACCATCTATATTTCCCTAATGATATTATAAATGAGAATGTTTGTTTGTTAGTTACGGTTTCACGTGAAAACTACTCAACCGATCATCATGAAATTTTGAACACATGTTCTTAGAGGTATTAAAAGTAACATATGATACTTTAAAAAAATTGTTTTTTATGTAAGATGAAAAAATCTTTTTCAAGAAAGTCTCAAAATGTCACTACTTCAACGTCATCTAGCATTCCAGTAATGAAGTTCCAACTCTCAGTATCATAATGCCGTCGCACTGTATTATCACAGCATTGCACCCGTGCGGAGCCGGGGCGGTTGCCAGTATTGTTTATATCTTTCATTGAGAGCATACAGTCCTTAACCGTTTTCACGTTTTCTGAAACCCTGAAAAGCAAACCGTATGCATAATTCAGCACTGATTGAAAGATCATTAATGAACAATGTAAACAATAGAGGTCCCAAATTAAAGCTGTGGGGGACCCCTGAAGTTATGTGAAACTTCAAAGATATATTTTGATTGTGTTCAAACATGAAAAATATATTTTGTCGGTAATTTGATTTGAACTGTAATGTCCCTCCTATTATTCCATACTGTCCTAATTTATGCAGTAATACATTATGATCCACTTGATAAAATGCTTACCTGAAATCAATATAGCCTATATCCAATCGGAATCCATTTTCAAAACATTTAGGATTTATTTGATTTATTAGCTACTAGCAATCCGCCCCGGCTCCGCACGGGCAAAAAAAACAAACTTACATTTATAATATTAATAAGGAAGTAGGGATGAAGCCATGTTGATTTCTTCGAATAATTTTGCTAGTATTTGTATAGTATTGAAATTGATATACCTATTATCCTTTGATTCATGTATTGGAGTAATTATAGACGTTTTCCAAAGAGAAGGAAAAATTTTACATTTTTAATTAGTATACAAATATACATTACATATGGGGATGGGTACTGTTGAATAAAAATGAACTACTTCAAAGAAAATTTATTGCTTCAAGTACAAATGAAATTCATAAAAACATTTACTATAAACTCATATAGAAGTATTTGAAATGGAATAAATGTCACTAATACGAATATCATAATGTAACAACTATAAAAAGATATGTAGTAGGGTGATGATGTTTCTTATTTTTCCTTTCTCGCTTCTTTCATAATTACATACTAACAGATACTACATGGAAATGATACATCATGTTGACACCCCTTTCTATGAAAGTTCATCATCTGAAGGATGATGTTGTAGTCGCTTTGAATTGAAATACCTCACAATGTTATGAATATATTGAAGTATATCAGAAAGATCAGCTCGTCTTCTTTTCGCAGGTCTATCACAGTCAATCGGAGATTCCTCGCCGCCTCTTTCTATTGCCCAGGGATTCTCTTGACAGTTTCAACAGTGTTGAGTTGCCTTTAGATATCTTTCCCTTGTCCTTCTCTTTCCATTTCTTCTTGTTGAGGAACTTCCAAATTACCACATTGGCTTCCACACTTGAATGATCTGTCTCCAGTATGTTTCCTTTCATACATTTTCAAGAAACCATTTCGAGTGAAATATCTTGGACAAAGCTTACACTTAAACGACTCTTCCTCAGTATGACTCGAACAGATTCTGCAGAACGGTATTTCTTCGGTATGAGACCGGTATATTTTCCCAGAATAACTTTTTGATGTTAATTGTGTAGCAGGTTCCGAAAGAAGAGGCTTCACTTCTCAAATGCTCAGCTTGGTATGAGAAGTTTTCTTCATCTACAACCTCACATTTGAGATCTTCGTAAACATTGTCGATATCACCTTCCATTTTATATTGAACTGAATCGAATTCAAATCGTCATTACAGCCAATCAGAAATAAGCTCATTTGCATATGAGTAGATAACAATGAGAGGTAACAATATTTACTTTGATTGTGGTGATTTAATGATATGTTACCTATTTTCCATTGAAGCGAGTAGTGATGAAATTTCATTACCTGGAATGGATTGAGAACCATCACAAAGAAAATAATTCCATTGAATCAAAGGCTGCTTTTCACATTAGCCAACATTATTTTTCGAGAAGTAAACATAAAGGCACTATTACCGTGTGACCAATAAATTTATATGTAGTATGGTTGACCTGTTTGCCTTCAAGTTGCAGAAGTCAGTAGCCATATGGTTGATAATAAATCTTTTTTTTTTCAAGGCCATACTCCAAATAGTATTTTCTCAT